GAACAATTTGCTGAAAAAAATACTGATCTATACATTTCAAATCTAAATTTTCACCGTGCAATGCTGGGTAACTCAGCTAGTATATATATAAAACTATATCATAAAATTTATTTGCTATCTCTTGAACTTGTCTTACAAGACCTCAAACAATACTTTTTTGTTTTTGCCACAAGTGTCAGTTATCTGTTTAACATTTCATCAATAAATTACCAGAACTATGATAAGTAAAACACATTTTTACTCATTGCTTCTGGATATAACAGCATTTGGAATGTCTGATAATGACTACAGGTGTATACGTAGTTCACCTGATTATTCAAAAATCACAAAGAATAACTGCATCCACTTTTACAACTAAGAAAAATTTACAATCTCAAGAAAGACCAAAATTTCTTCTTTCATCAATTAGAAGACTAATGATGAAAAACAAAAAAAGACTAAATATATTATTATGTTGAATGGATTCTTAATTTTAAATGGATAATTTCAACATAACATTCAGAATCCTTTTAAAATGAATATCAGAGACCTTATGACAAACTAATGTGATGATTAAAGATATAAAAGAATCACAACTTTATGTAAATACTTATTGATTTATCAAATCCAAAGTAGTCGACTAAAGCTTATGAAGTTTTTACTCAGACTTTACAATGATCAGGTTTCATTATAGAAATACATGAAACAAGTACAGTGTACAACAAAAATCAATATATACGTATACTGTAAACCTACCACACTAATTTCTATGTTCACAGGAATTCAGCCAACAGTTCTGTTCTCAAATTAGTTACTACAAAGAATCTCTTACATAACATTAAACTTACTTGTACAGACATAAAAAAAGAGAGTTTGGATCAAGAAATTCAATCAATGAAAACATGTTTCACACATGTTTATGGGTACTATGAATACTTGGTAAATAAAATCATTTCAAATTGTTTAAATACAAGCTTGTTCCCCAACAAAAATGATGCTTCAAATGTTAAGAAACCTTGAGATAAATTGCTAATAAATTTATAATACTATGACCAGTTAAGTTCCTTATCATACCACATGAGAAGTTAATAAATATTCCATGACACATGGAAAACAAGAGTACAACATTTTTATAGAAATCTGTCACTAAATAAACTAATTCATTGTTAAAAATAACTCTTCAAGTCATAAAA